TCAATAGTTTCCAATTTTAATTTTATCTTATGGTGCAAAATGCGTTTATCTTATCTTGGGGGGAATCGATGTAGCTATCTCAAATTACAAAGGAGTGTGTATGCAATTTTACCTTTTATAAATTATCATTGTGACAATTTTTTTCACTGTAAAACTGAAAATCTTTTCTTTCGCTTTGCTTCAAAGTTACAGTCAACTGCAATATATAAAATCCCACTCTCATGGGGTGTGTTAATAACAAGGCGAGGTGGCTTGATTCTGTAAGGTTTATGTCATCAATTGGATGGGATACTACATCAGTTTGGGGATAAATAATAATAGAGATGATGAAAATTTATTTTGAGCAACAGTGCATTATGATGCATAATAAAAATAACTAAGTTTTAAAACTTTATTTAGTGAGTCACAATTTATATTCTAAATTTAATAATGTACTAAACCTGGAACTATGACATATAACAGGATATAAGAATTACATCACACGTAATGATTCAAGAGTTGAGTTTTTTATATAACTAATGTAATATGGCATCGTACATGATCTTAATTTTCATGGTTAATTTAAAAAATTGTGCATTCAATTTTTACAGAAATAAATTTAATATAATACCCACGTAAATAAAATCCATCAATAGCGCCCCTATAACTCGAACACATCACTCAGAACAAGTTACAAGTTTATTAAGAGTTTTAGATCTCAACCATATAATGTTGTAGGATACTTACATTTATACTTTAGGAATGGACACATGAGCTAGAAACTTGAGTAATGTACCTTCTTAAATGATTTCTCTATGATTCATTTCTTTCATGCAAACCCATTTTTCAAGAAATATTACTTGATATCAATCTCTAAGAATTTTATTGCCCCCAAAATCCTTATTATGAGTTAGGTATTCTCATATGAGATTTTAGGTTTTTTAGGCCAAGTGTTATCCCCTCCATATACACGAAACCCTAGATTATGCACCTAATCTTTTTTTCAACTTTTTCTCATTACCAAAGGCTTAGTTTGTGCTACAATGGGTGCAAAAAATTTAATCTCTTTTCTAAACAACACCACCCACAAAATCTTCACGAGATCATTCAAATGCATCACTTTCACTTTCATAAATGGGTAACTCTTTTCTTAATTTTTTTAGTTAGGTTCACAAATAATAAACCCATTTTTTTCATGCACATATTTATTCATTATTTTTATCATTTAAGAATAATAATCACAAATTAGCTATATACAAACATTGCATTAATCACATATCAATTATTCATAACATTAAGCATTAAACTATTAAATTACCACATGTACTATTGATCAAGATAACCACAAGCATCACTAGCCATTAAAAATAAATTATAATGGCTACATGTTTGTTAAGAGTTTTAGAACTCAACCATATAATATTATAAAATAGATACATTTACACTTTTAAGGTGGATACTAGAGTAAAAAGCCTGAGTGATATTTTCATAAATGATTTTCCTATAAATCATTTATCTCATTTGAATATATTTTCCAAAAATTATTACCTAACAAGTCTCCAATAATTATCACCTGCAAAATTTTGATTATGAGTTGGGTATGAGATTTTAGGTTTTGTAGCGTAAGTCTTATCCCTTTCATATACTTTACTCTAGATCCTAGATCATGCACCGTCTTTCCTTTGACTTTTTCTCTTTACCTAGTGCTTAGTTTGTGGTACATTGGGTGCTAAAGATCTGCTCCTACTCGTGCAACAGAAAAAGATACATAACGTGCCTTCTTAAGATATTATAATTTCATAATAATATTTTATAATTTTATATTACTTATAAAATTACTTAATTTAAGACATTTTTTTTACCTGAAAATATTTAAATGAATAAAAGTGTATAAAAGTGAAGAACGTGGAGGAACTTTTTTATTTGAGTAAAATAACATATTTTATTTATAAGACTTTTGATTTTGTAGTCTTTATTTATAAATAAATTGTAAAAGTAGATTTAGTACAATTTAACATATAAATTTATTAAAATATATTTAACAAAACTCTTTTTATGTTATTTCATTAATGTTATTTTAGTAATTTTATTTCACTAACACACTTTAATAGTATTCTTGATTTGAAAAACATAAAACTCTAAAAAATAATATAATATTTAGAAAAATTAAAAAATGTACTTATTTCATTATAATATTATTGCTAAGGCACAAATATTATCTAGTTTTAAGGAGTATTTTACTTAAAATACCTAAATAAATTTAACTTTTGTCTTAAAATTTTCAAGTAAGCAAAATATTTACATACAAGCCTCTTACATTTCCACCCCTCTCCAAATAATATTTACTATAGAAAACAAAATAAGCAATCACACGGTCTCTTGTGAAAATAATAAAAGTTTAAAGGCTAAAAAGGAGATTTGACAAGTGAAGGAGACCAATGGCATTGCACAGAAGTTGGGGGATGAAAATGAGGGTTTAAAGTTTAAACGCTTCTTTAAGATATATATAAAACCCAGATCAAATGTCTTTACTATATATATATAAAACCCAAAACAATTGTTTTTCTCGTCGCCTTTCTGCACAAAGTGAGGGAGGTGATCGGCGTCTATAGTCTCTCTTCCCCTGCAACTTAGCTGTCAACGGGTCTTACTCTGTCTTCTCCATCTTCAATTTGTAAGCAATTTTTTTCTCTTAACCAGCGTAAATCAATCAAGAACAAGAGAGTCAACATGTTGGAATTAAATTACATAGATTTCTCATCAATTGAGAGTTACCTTCTAAAAGCCCTCACTTTTTCTCTTCCTCCTTCCTGAACCCAGAATCCATAGAGAGAGGAACTCTCATTCTTCACTCTCAAACATGTTCTTCCACATAGTATTGGAGCGCAACATGCAACTGCATTCCCGCCACTTCGACCACAACCTCCGTGGGAACCTCGTGTCCCAGCCCATGAAAGATGTCGACGGCACTTGCAGGTTTCTGTCTTTTTATTTTTATTTTATTTCTCAATTTCATTTATTTGATTATTTGAGAGATCAGTGCTAGTGAATATGCTTAAAATTCTCTGCATCTCACTGGCAATCATTTCATTGTGACAACTAGTGTTTATGGTGTAAATTGCTGAATTAATGTATATTCTCTGTTCATAATGTATGTCACTGTACATATATATACAAAAGAACTAAATCAGAATCATAACTTAACTAACCTTGTGCCTAGAGTCTAGGAGAGTTATAACTGTATACAAATATGCTCCTGATTCTGAGGGATTTCTAGCAGAAACTGTTTATACCAGATACTGTTTACACTCCCATGAATGCCCAGCTTGTCCTGCATCAAATAAAAACTGTCCTTGCCCAATGCCTTTGTGAAAATATCAGCTGGTTGATGAGAGTAAGAGATTGGTAATGGGCAGACAATAGCAGCTTGAAATTTCTCACGCACCAAATGACAATCAATTTCCAAATGTTTTGTCCTTTCATGAAAGGATTGGCAACAATGTGACGAGCTGCCTGATTATCACAGTAAAGAGGTGTGGAGCGAGATTGGCGAATACCAAAACTGTGTAATAAGTTGCGAAGCCTAATGACCTTTTTAGTGGTAGAAGCTATAGCCCTATATGAGTGCCGTGGTTATCATGTATTGAGAAAAATTGTCATCTCTATGAGGATCCACTATTGCTTTGTGTAAGGGTAGTAACATAACTAACTCATAAACATAGTGAAGGCCCATAAGGCCCAAATACAAAAGAGCACATGCATGAGCTACTACGGAGCTCATATACACTCAAATAAATCCAAAAGGACCAGCGAAAGTGCAACACATGTCCAGCATTTCCAAAGGATTCATAAATACCCCCACACCCCTCAAAGGTACGGGACTTCTTATTTTCAGTATTTCTCTCTAATACACTCCATTCTCTAAAAAGAGTTCTAAAGGTAGACTATTGCTGACTTAAACATTGGAGTGTCTATCCCGAGAGCCACCCTCGGGGCTTTGCAAGTTTATTGGACAAGAAGATCTAAGCAAGGAAGGCCTTGAAGGTTTTCAGCAATAACATTGGCGCCGTCTGTGGGAACTCGAATAAAAAGCTTCATTTCTATGTGATCCGGTTGATTAGAGGGAGGAGAAGATGAGTGAAGGCCTCATAGCCTATTCACTTGAGTTGCAGAAGCAGATCTGATGAATTTACACTTGAGTTGCAAAAGTTTACATTTGAGTTGCAGAAGCAAATGTGATGAAATGGGTCTATTCACCTATTCGCCTATGAAGAAGAAGAAAAGTTTTCACAAGAAAACAAACAAGGGAGTAGCTTTGCATAACTATCGAGGCATGATACAATGTCAACAATGAGTATTCAAGAAGCAAAAAAGTGTCAACAAAACACAAGCTTAAAGGTACTCAGTGGGCTCCACAAAAAAAAAAAAAAATCTCACAAATGTTGCACCCTCAATGAGAAGATGAGCTCGAGCTTGATGGCAGAAGCAAACAGCCCAGCTCAACAGCAGTAGTGGCCCAACTCAGTAGCAACAAAGCAGTCCAGCTCGGCAGTGGCGAAGCTCAAAGCAGTGCTCCAGCTCGGCAGAAGCAAGGCAATCCAACTCAAACACAAGCTGCCGAGGTTAAGCACAAAGTGCAGGGGTCGAGCACGAAGTGCAGAGCTCAAACATGAATTACCGAGGTCAACCATGAGCTGCAGAGCTCAAACACTTGCTGCCGAGGTCGAGCACAAAGTGCAGAAATCAAACACAAGCTGCAGAGCACAAACACGAGCTGTCGAGGTTAACCATGAGCTGCGAAGGTCAAGCACAAAGTGCAGGGGTCGAGCACGAAGTGTAGAGCTCAAACATGAGTTGCCGAGGTCAACCATGAGCTGCAGAGCTCAAACACTTGCTGCCGAGGTCGAGCACAAAGTGCAGAAATCAAACACAAGCTACAGAGCACAAACACGAGCTGTCGAGGTCAACCATGAGCTGCGAAGGTCAAGCACAAAGTGCAGGGGTCGAGCACGAAGTGCAGAGCTCAAACATGAGTTGCCGAGGTCAACCATGAGCTGCGAAGGTCAAGCACAAAGTGCAGGGGTCGAGCACGAAATGCAGAGCTCAAACATGAGTTGCTGAGGTCAACCATGAGCTGCAGAGCTCAAACACTTGCTGCCGAGGTCGAGCACAAAGTGCAGAAATCAAACACAAGCTGCAGAGCACAAACATAAGCTGTCGAGGTCAAGCACAAAGTGCAGGGGTTGAGCACGAAGTGCAGAGCTCAAACATGAGTTGCTGAGGTCAACCATGAGCTGCAGAGCTCAAACACTTGCTGCCGAGATCAAGCACGAAGTGCAGAACTTGAGCATGAGCTGCAGAGCTCACACTTGCTGCCGAGGTCGAGCACAAAGTGTAGAAATCAAACACAAGCTGCAGAGCTCAAACACTCACTATTGAGGTCAGCCACGAGATGCAGAGGCTGAGAACGAAGTGCAAAACTTGAACACAAGGTGCAGAGGTCGAGCATGAGCTGAAAGATGTGCAGCACGAGCTGCAAGGTGTCAACACCCTCAACAAGGTGCCGACACTTTTCCTGCATCCGTCCTGAAGAGTCCGTGTTGGGTTTTTGTCCTTCTCTGCAAATTCTGGTAACGGTAAAATTACAGTCCCGACCCCTTACTTTTGGATTCTGCAAAATTTAATCTTCAAATTTCATATCTTTACAATTTACTCCTAAAGATTGTGACTTTTTCCAATTAAGTCCTCCCCGGCACAAAATGAAAATTATGCAAAATTAAGTAAATTTTCATAAAATTCATCCAAATGTCAATAATATCAAGGCATAAATTTTACATTAATATGTATATAAATTTAGTTCATTAGCCATGTATTGTTTTGAAAATTAAAAAAGATGAACTTGTAATCTTTTTCTTTTATTTATTTTATATAATATATTTTCTTGATTATAAAACTTTATGCCTTTAATTTCTCCTTTTTTCAAGTTGTTGTGATACAGGTTGTCAAGAAAGCAATTGAGCGCCGCAGCAAATTAGAGCTTTGGTGCAAGCTTGGTCCAATCTTATTAAAATTTATTATTAATTGCTTTCCGCATTCTTTGCATTCATTCTACATTTTTCCATTCATTTTGCACTTGTTTTTGCATTCATGATATCATTTTGCCATCTCAGTTTTTATATATATCATAATCATGCTACTTTGCTCATTTGCACTTATGATTATAAATATATGTTGCTATTTTAGAGATGGAAAAGTGCAAGGACTCCATGTGGGGTGGGTTCTAGAGAAATCCCTTTATGGTGAGCTCCTCCTGTATGAGTTATGAACAACTCCTCCGTCAAAAATTTTAAAAGGCCACGGGCCCAAACCATTAAGCTCAACAACTTACAAAGATGATCAAGTAAATTTCTTCTTTGGCATCATTTATGAGAGGCTAGATTTTTTCTCCACATTTGCTCCTGAGTCAAGGCAAGGAGGAGTTAACATTGTTCATAAAAAGCTAAATTCTTTCTCGACTTTCTATCTCATTGAGCACAATTCTTCCCAAGTATAAATTAATTCTGCTCTGCAAGTCAAGTAAGTGTTACATATTAGAAATTTTAAAATTTCTTTGCACATTCGAGATTTTTATTGAGTCATTTCGCATGTCCAATTTTTGTTATTATATTTACAAACTAGAAAAACTTTTTATTACAACATGCATGACTACTTGTTTATTGGCCATGTTAAAGCATAAAAAATGCAAATAAGGTAATTTACGATTACAACATTTATGTTTACTGACCCCAAATGTGCGGGTTGAGGGAGGAGAAGAGTCATATATTATGACTTCTAATAGGAACCTATGATTAAAAAGTGCAGTTTCATAATTTATTCAAGTCACAGTTATTAACTGTGATACTGAGCTAAAGATATATATATATATATATATCTGTACCCTTATCATATAATATGGTCAACCTTGAACTTTAACAATAGGAACTTCATGTGCTGACTTAGGAACTTCAACAAGTTCATAAACTTGGTTGAGTTCATCCTCATGATAACCCATTCCAAGGTGAACTCCCTTGGATGATGTAAACTTTGGATGAACTCCATTGCTTGAGCTTATCCTCATGCTAACCCATTCCGAGGTGAACTACCTTGGATGAGGTAAACAACCTCGGATGAGGTAAACAACCTCGGATGAGGTAAACAACCTCGGATGAGGTAAACAACCTCGGATGAGGTAAACAACCTCGGATGAGCTCAATTGCTTGATCTCATCCTTATGATAATCGGGCGAACTACCCCGGATGAGGTAAACAACCTCGAATGAACTCAGCCTATGCTTGAGCTCATCCTCGTGACAGCCTAGTCCGAGGTGAACTACCTCGGATGAGGCAAATGACCCCAAATGAGGCAAACGACCTCGGATTAACTCGGACTACCCCCTACCCACATAACCTCCACATCATTCACAAGTGAATGACTAGTGTGATGGTAGTCCGATGTGAACCACCTTGGATGAGGTAAACAACGTTAGATGAACTCAACTGCTTGAGTTCATCCTCATGACAACCCATTCCGAGGTGAACTCCCTTGGATGGTGTAAGCAACCTTGGAAGAACTCAATTGCTTGAGCTCATCCTCATGATAACCCATTCCGAGGTCAACTACCTTGGATGAGGTAAACCTCAGATGAACTCAATTGCTTGAGCTCATCCTCATGATAATCCATTCCGAGGTCAACTACCTTGGATGAGGTAAACCTCAGATGAACTCAATTGCTTAAACTCATCCTCATGATAAACCATTCCGAGGTCAACTACCTTGGATGAGGTAAACCTCAGATGAACTCAACTGCTTGAGCTCATCCTTATGACAGTTGAGCTCAGGTCTAGCTTGCAACCAGCTTGCCATTTCACCAGCTATCTTGTGTTCCACCTCTCATGGGCCATTCATCAATAAAGATATGCTAAGCCCCTATTTATTAAATATATTGAATATAATATATTCTTCATGTTTCAACTAAAAGTAAGTGGCTTAAATGACATTTATTTATATAAATACATTTGTGGAGCCTCATGCAAATAGTGGAATAATCCACAAGCTAATGGTATCCACGAGCTGGTGGTCTTTATTATTGGTTCTAACTTAAAGAGATAAATCTCTCTTTGAGAGGAGGAGTAGGAATGCATAAGCAACAAAAATAAACTTTCATATTTTAGTTGGCATGTGCTTAACTTGCTGCTTGAATATATTTTGAAACTCATATTTTAGTACTGTTTATTTTGATGACTCATGTCACAAACATTTATATTTAATTCCAAATTATTGTGCCACTTTTTTTTGGTTTCCCGCCCGGTATCCGGGGCTTCGCCCCGACTACTCCGAACTCGACCAGCTGTGGCGCACCAGAATGGTGGGTGGGTCTCCCAACGAAAACTGCTGCGTACACAAGGTCTCGAACTCGAGACCTTGCTTAAGCTGTAACAAGCCGCTTGCCACTTGATCCAACCTCTCGTTGGTAATTATTGTGCCACTTTAATGTTGATGTATCTCATGTATTATTGACTATTGACAAACTAATGGCATCTTGTCAAGTTCTATGTTTAGAATGAATTTTTACAGGTCTCAAGAGTTTGTTAACTCCTTGGCTTGGAAGACTCAGAAATATGTTATCAGCTTTTAAACTTATCAGTTCATCAGAAAATACTATTGGCCTTTGAGCCCATTAGCTATTGGCTTTTTTAGCCCATTCGATTTGCAAGAGCTTGCGTCCATCAACTATCAGCTTCTCAGCTCATTTGTTCTATGAAAGCTCAGTTCAATCTTAACTCTGCAAAGCACAACCCTCAAAGGGGTTTGATTTTATGCTATGACTCGAAAGACCAAAATTTTCTTCTGGGCATCTCAAGGTGGGATTCTGTGGTAGGCATCTCCAACTACCAAAATTGGCATTCAATCAACTCTACAAAAACTGGTTCCAATCCTAGCTCTATAAAGCATGACTCTCAAAAGTCTGACTTCCATTATTATGGCTCATGAGGTTGCAAATCGTCACTTTCGAGTCGTCATTTTCAAGTCATCAATCTCAGCTACAACCATAACACATGACTATGGGTCATGCATCTTTACTTCGGCTCCGGCCACGATGACCTAGTCACATGCTTTACTTTGGCTTCGGCCCACAGTGACCCAGTGTCATGCTTTACCTCGGCTTCGGCCCACAGTGACCCAGTGTCACATGCTTTACTTCGGCTTCAGCCCACAATGACCCAGTGTCACATGTTTTACTTTGGCTCCGGCCATAGTGATCCAATGCCATGTGTTTCACCTTAGTTCTTGCCATAGTGACCCAGTGTCACATACTTTAATAGTATTATATAGCTACATAACATGCTTCTCACATCAGCTGATCTTGTAATATATTTATCACCTGCTATCATATAGTGTAAGGATAGGTCCGAGGTGCCCAACCTCGGATGTACGGCAGTAATTCCTTTATAACTGAAGTGAAGGATAAACCCAACACTTCCCGCTCAAACAGTTGCATGACAGCAACAATAAGCATGCATGCACCTGATTCTTTATGATAAGCTGCACAGCAGTTATGGTGGATATGCTCACATCTGAACATCTCTCAATTTTTTGGTCCTAAAATAACCGTCTGGACAAACACGTCAGACTCCGATTATCTTGCTTGGCATATGACTTCGGTCATTGCTTACTACCTCGGCTCTAGCTACATGACTCCGGTCATTACTTATTATTTCGGCTCCAGCCGCTATGATTCCGGTCATTATTATTTACCTCGACTACGGCCATAGTGACCACGAGTCACCAGTTCTACTTCGGCTATGGCCATAGTGACCACGAGTTACTAGTTCTACTTTGGCTCCGGCCATAGTGACTTCGAGTCACATATTTTACTTCAGCTCCAACCGTAGTGGTCCCGAGTTACATATTTTGCTTCGGCTCCGGCCATAGTGACCACACGTCACCTATATTACTTTGGCTCTAGCCACAATGATTGAGTCATGAATTTTTACCTCGGCTACGGCCCAAAACGCATGATTCCATGTCATGTATTTTACTTAGGCTACAGCCCTAACACATGACTCCGTGTCATGCATTTTTACCTCAGCTACGGCCAAAAACACATGATTCCGTGTCATGCATTTTTACCTCGGCTATAGCCTAAAACACGACTTCATGTCATACTTTTTTATATTTACTACCCCCATCTACACTCATCTTCCACACTAATCATTCACAAGTGAATGACTTCGGGAGGGGGAATAGTGTAAGGGTAGTAACATAACTAACCCATAAACATAGTGAAGGTCCATGAGGCCCAAATACAAAAGAGTACATGCATGAGTTACTATGGAGCTCATATACACTCAAATAGATCCAAAGGGACCAGCGGAAGTGCAACACATGTCCAGCATTTCCAAAGGATTCATAAATACCCCCACACCCCTCAAAGGTGCGGGACTCCTCATTTTCAGTATTTCTCTCTAATACACTCCATTCTCTAAAAAGAGTTCTGAGGGTAGACTATTGCTAACTTAAGCATCGGAGTGTCTACCCCGAGAGCCACCCTCGGGGCTTTGCAGGTTTATTGGACAAGAAGATCTAAGTAAGGAAGGCCTTGAAGGTTTTCAAAAACAACACTTTGAAATTTTCTAATGTATCAAACAGGCAAAGGACCCAAAAAAGTCCTCGTCGGAGAGGTCCAGGATTCGTAACTTGGGAAAAGATGGACGTTCCTTGGTGCTAACTACAAAACCATGGAATTTATTTGACCTTAAAACCAGCACTCTTAGATTTGCTATCTTGTTGTCCCCAAAGTTTAGAACCTCTAGCAAGCTACAATTCATCAAAGATCTTGGCAACGAGCCTTCCATTTTATGTCCATACAAGTTGAGACTTTGCAATCCATAACCCTCTGGAAAGCTAAATGGTATATCTCCATCAAAGTTATTGGCATGCAAACTCAACACGGAAAGGCTTTTGCTCATCAACATTTGGAGATAGTTTGGAATCTTCCCACTTAAATTGTTAACATAAGGGTCAAGAACTTGAAGATCATTTGAATGTCTTAGGAAACTGGAGAATTCACTCAAGTTACAAGAAGACAAAATCAAATGTTTTAGTTTGGGGAATGTGAAGTCAGCATCAAAATTGATTCTCAAAGACAGATTGTTGTTTGAAAGATCAAATTATTGTGTGCCAAATCCACGATTGTCAATGATTTCTGATGGAATTGAATTATTTGATCTTGAAGAAAGTTGCAATTGAGAACCAAGACCTATAACAAAGGTAGACTAAAAACTCAAGGTGGCATTGATCCGTTGAGTGAGTTATGAGATAGGTCTAGGTGGGATAGTATTGAAAACGTACTCCCTTGAAAGGGAATGGGACCAAAAAGCTGATTATTTGAAAAATCAAGAAGGTTGAGTTGCATGACATTTGTAAGTAATGATGGGATTTCACTCCAAAAATTGTTATGTCGAAAGTTTACAAGAGTAAGCTTAGACAACTTCCCTATTGAAACTGGAATGGAACATTTAAAGTTGTAGCTAAAGAAAACTAAAGAACGTTAGCTCCTATTGACTTGGGAAATTCCCTCCCCCCACAATCCTTGCGGTTTATTTCATATGGTAGGGAAAAAATGGAAGCGTTTTAAAAAATGAGAGTAAAGTTACAATTCAGCACCTAGTTTCAGTTAGTCTCTTAGTTACTTAGTTGAGTTACATTAATGCATTGTCATTAATTTTCTGTAAACCTGAAAATGCACGGGTGAAAGCCTCGTGTATAGCCCCATATGGGGAATTTTTTATTAATGGAGTAAGCTTACCATTCTCTTAGAAAAGTGTTTTAGGACTCATCCACCGGTCCAGTTAAATAACCAAACAAGAAAGGAAGTCATAGAATACACAAATCAAAACCAACTTGAAAAAGAGTGATGATGTGAATATTGTACTAAGCACACAGAAAGAAGTTTACCGGGCAGATCATGCTAGAGGACAGGTTCAAGTGCAGAATATTAGTTTAAATATAAAACAAGAATGCAAAAGCTGCAATTGGCAATTAGGTCTTTAAAATTGAAGAAACTATGAGGTCCATGAAAAGTAAACAAGTTGAACAAATTAGAGAAAGAAACTCAAATGGATAAATAGCGAAAACAAAGAGTACAAAATCATTGAACTACACAAGTGAGGAAGCTGTAGGGTCATTGACTTCTTTGCACCAAATGTCATAAATCTGACACCCAATCCCCCAAGCAGCCCTCCTTTCGTGGACTGCAGTAAAAATTATTCAAATTAAGTGATCGAAATCAAAACCGTGTCATAAAGTAGTCAGTGTTACTGGAAACTGTATTGTTTGTCCATCATGATACTAGTAGGAACACCCCGCTCTGCGGGGAGGTGGTTATTTTCAAGGTCACTTGGACCTCATTAAAAGCAAAATATAATCTAACTTACGCAGTTGTACCTATAGTTAAACATTCAAGTCATGAACAACATAAAATTTTATTGTATTACCATGTTTTAATTTTTAATACATGCAATGCAAGTTAAGTTGAAAGTCCAAAGAACACTTTTAAGAGGTTTAAAAATTGTTGTTCAAAATTTACCCAAAAAAAAAAAAAAATTGTTGTTCAAAGAAATGGTGAAACTTTGACAACCCATCTCAAAGATCAGATGATTACCAAAAAAAAAGGTATGCCAACATCAAGAAAAAATTATGCAAAAAAGATGCTTCTAGTTTTAGTATCCAAAGAAGTTAAGAAATGAATCAATGTGAATAACGTTACTCATAGATATATAAGGAAAGTCATACAGTGGATGGAATAAGGAAGGCCCTAATTAAAAATTTTTTTTTTTGGCCATCCCTGATTAAATTGATTATTAGGAAGATATTTGCATTCACAAAGAAGCTCTTGAAGATCAATACAATATTCAGAAGTGGAACAAAAAGAAAGGTTATGGAAACAAATAAGCACATAAGGCACACCATTTTAACGCCTTGGGCCATCAATGTATGAGATTTTCTTCCTACTTCCAAGTTCAAAAGTTGTCCTAAGGGGTGGGTAAATCATTCTACTTGTCCTAAACGTGGAAAATTGTCAAATGAAAAAAAAGAGACAATTATAACAAACTATCAATACAGCTATACAAAGGAACCTTAAGATTAAGAAAGCAAAAAGCAAAAACCAAAAAGAAAGAAAGGGAGATATTGCCCAGCTGCAACAGAGAAGCATATTTCAAATTTCAAATTAAACAACCTAGTAGTTTCATTGATTTGCCATGCAAATTCACATTGCAACATAAATACATCATAAAAAACTATAGAAAGTTCAACAACTTGTCACACCAAAGAGATGATAAAACAGTGAATTAGTCCTAAAGTAGTGAAAAAAGACATTGTTCATCCCAAATCAGTTTGTTGCAGCAAAAAGATAATGAGTCAGTAAATGAGTCCTAAAATATTGAAGATCAGAACCAAAGCCACTTCAAAAAAGACATCCTTCATCCCAA